ACAAAATAAAATTATTACAAAGCAGCACGTTGTTAAGCGTAACGCAAAGGCGCTCGCTTTCACGACTTAAAACATATACATATACATATATAGCTACATATATTTTTTTCCGTCGTATATAAACGATTTCCATTAAGTACATTTGACAAATGATTCCTGTTCCGTTCGAATATATTCGGGAAGCTTTTGTAAGGATCTATACAAAAGGATATTTAATTGCACCGCGGTCAAACTGAATTGCATAGCGTTACCATGATCATCTAATAAACAAATATATCTTTCTACAAATAATCGTGAACACCATTTCTACAAAGTGTGAATAATAGCAATAATAAGATATAAAAGTAATAATAATGGTAATAATAAACTTTCACAATATCGATACCACCATAAAACACAGTGATAATCATAATAATTACGTCATAATATAATATTAATAGTCTAATAAAGTAATAGTAATAAATCATAATTATTCTAATAATAATAATAATAACAATAACAATAAGGGTAACGATAGTAATTGGTAAAGTGGGTCGTAGCAATAATAATAATCGTAATAATAATAATAATCGTACTAATGGTGGTAATCAACGTAGCAGCACTGTTATTCCTATTTTTTTTTTCCCTTGTTGTGTTTTAACAACGAAATAAACGTACATGTGTGCTGAAGAGAACATGGTGAAAGATGAAACGTAAAAATGGTGATATATTAATTCGTAAATGTTACTTCTGACTAGGCTCCATTTGTATTCACATGTACAAAGACTTAAGAGAACATGTAACCTCGCGTAAGTTAATTATTATATGTATATATCGGCTGAACGTGCATGCATGAGGGAGAGTTAGCCGTTAACGGTGCGTAAGTACATCAGTTAATTAATGACGTCTTTGGTAATTGGCATGGAGCACGGTACAACGACCACAATCGATACGGGATGATCCATCAGAAATTGCAGCAGTTGTTGTTGTTGTTCGTTAACAATGCTCAGAACGAAAATTTTTCGGCTCGAATTAACGATTATCGGATCGTTAATTGACAACGATAGGATTGCATTAGTTAACTCCTAGATCGCATTGTTGTAGGCTCGTTATCACTCATGCCGATGTAACGCTTTTCTG